TCTGCCAAACCCATTGTGCGTCGCCGACTTTGTTCGGGTTGTCACCCTGCGGCGTATGGATTGATCCATCACGCTCCCGCGAGCTCTGTGGTCTCTCCGATGGGTGATTTTGCGACCGCAGCAGCTCAGCGCCATAGCTTGAGCTCTGCTCATGGCCCTAGCTCCCTGGCTATTGCCGAGGATCGCGAAGCGAACGTCGACGCGGAACGACATGATCCCCTGATCGGAAGATCGAAAACGTCCACGACGTCTGGGTAGTCTTGCCGAAGTGGTACCTCAAACTTCCACGAGCTCTCGGAGTTTGGGTATCCCTGCACTTTACACTATACTGGGTTTGACCCTGGCGACGACGTCGATGCATAATACGTCCTACGTGATAATGGACACCACATTGCTATACGAGCTCTTGAGGCAAATTTTGTCATATCGGGACTCCGCCGTGTATCTTGCCAAGGTCACCAACCACTGCGGGGGGGAGTTTAAAAAATTGGAGCACGTTGTGCACCGGCTGCCACACGTTCAGGACAATCGCGCACTATCAGAGCGACTCCTAGCCGGTGAGTAGACGTATCCGTTGTTCCATGCAAAAGTGGGGCGCCTGTAAGCGCTGTTCCGGCGCCAACGCTTTCGCGTTCACTTGCGCCGGATCCCGGAACGGCTTGAGCAAGCCTACATATAACACCAGATGGGTGCGCATCCTTCTCGGAGAATTCAGCGTATACACAATGCATCGCTTGGCCTCAACCTTGAAAAGGTCCAATAAACCATGGACAGAGCTGCGTCTTATAGACAGCACAAATTGTATGGGTAGGAAAATTTTTGGCATTCAACATAACAAGGTCTCCAACCTCAAAGTAGTTAACATTTTCTTTACCTCTTCCGTCTGCATATTCTTTCTGCATGTCTTGGCCTTCAGCCATTGCATCGCGAACGTGTCGTTAGACTCTCAGTCTGGTAGACAGGAAGTCGTCGACTTCTTACGCAGTGAGGGAGCTGACATCTGCTGGCCGCTCGGTTATTTCCACCACGCCAAGCCCTGACCATGGGATTGTGGCGTCAGAGGAACTCGAGACTTTACAAGTCCATTCACATAAAACGGTGCGTAGTCAGTAGACGCATGTGCTGCATTGCTCAGAGCAATCTCTTCGAAGGGAGGCATAGCGCTCTAGCGCTTTGAAGTCTTAGAGCTGATGCTGCGAAAACCGTTCTCGACCACGCGATTCGAGCACTTAGTTTGACCATCGGTCTGCAGACGGTCCGCTGATGACATATATAACTTTAATTCAGCACTTTGACAATTGTCAACCAAAACGTCCCAGCGAAGCGTGCGTCGTTGCGAAGGTAATTGACTCCGGAGGTCCATGTTGTCGAAAGGCACAAGCTGCAAACAGCGTCGCCGTATCCACACGGTCGATGGTGTCCGGCATCGCCACAAAATGAGCCATCTTGCTCAAACAGTTGACGAAGACCACGATAAACGAGCTGTACACCGAGTCCTTCAATAGGTCAAGCGCAAAGTCCAAACTCATGGTCTGCCAGCATCCGGAGGGTACCGGCAAACTTGCCAGAGGCTTAGCCGCATTCGGAGGTGGTTTCACCTTTTGACACGTCTCACATGTGCGCACATAAGAGCTCGTCCATTTGTACAGCTTGGGCCGCCAGAAGTGGAAAACCTCAGAGCTGTAGGTCTTCTCACAACCAAGATGACCACTGAGTTGGTTGTCGAACGTGCACGTAGTCGCGACAACAACTTCTTGACCGAGTTCCAAACATCTTGCTCCTGAGAGCCTGTAGCATTGCTACGCATATCTCAACACCCGCGTACGCGGCGCGGATCAAATCAGTCACTGAAGACGTCACCGTCGAGATATGATCGATCTCATCATCTGGTCTGCGTGACAACGCATCAGCCAAAGCAATCTGCTTTCCTGGCTTAAACTTCACCTCGAAGTTCTATTTTGCGAAGAAGAAATGCCACCTGGCCATCCCCTGTGAGAAGTGAGGCGACTAAGTCGCGGTACGTAGTGACGCATGATCTGTGTAGGCTTCAGTTGACGAGATACGAGCGCGAACACCCGATCTCGCCCCTCGGGATCAACTTGCAGCAGTGTACAGTCGACGGCACAGTCTGATGCGTCACAGACAACTCTAAATGATGACCAGGGTCTGGCAACGCCAGCATTGGGGCATGAAGGAGACTGA